CCACGCGGGCGCGACGCTCTTTCGCTCGCAGGAGCGAGCATCCCTCTTCTTGCTTTGGGTCTGGATTTTCTGGGTGGATCCAGATCGTCCAGCCCTTAACTCGGGAGCAACTGAAAGTGCTTTCCTGCCAGGGAATTTCGTCTTGGGCTTGTAACGATTGGGTAGGTAAAACTCGTATGCAGCAGAAGGCAGAATTATTTGTAGGTCGGGTGTATGTGAAAGCTCACCAGGCCTGCCAGACTGGGCGAGCGGGAGGGACTGTCTGAACGCACAGGTCACCTGCACTGAGGAGAGTCCTAATAATTTGCTATTTTCTTGCATATTTGGTCTTTTGTTGTTTATTTCCTACCAGTACTCTCGGTATTACCCGTTTCCATGGTGGATTTCTCTGTCTTGCAGGGGTGAAGGTGTTTTCTTTGCTCTTTCAAGAGGGTTTTGTAGAGTTTTTTATTTTACTTTTATCCATCTGCTTTAATGTTGTTTTTTTATAACTTCAAAACCTATTGATTTTTTTTTCCCCCGTGCACAAAAAAGAAACAAACAAGTAGCCCCTAAGCAGATGAAGTACCAACATGTTTTTACTAATGCATCATAAATCACAAATAATTTTGGTTTCCATTTTTCAACCAGCCGTGATACCGAATATTGCCAAGAGGCTTCTGGAGCCAGCAATCCCACCAGTTTCCATGAGAAAGGCGTGGCAGAGCTGCTGCAGTTTCTGCAGACAGCACTGTTGGCAGCAGGAAAACGTTTGTTTCCGTTGCACTGCTCCTTTGGTGTCTAGGTACATCGTGTGCTAGCAACATCAGAACAACCCCACCAAGAACCTGCACGCGCCCCTGGCTGTTTGGCAAAGCCGAAGCCCAGGAATCTTGTTGGTTAAGTACTATCAAACGGGTTGGTGTCACTGACAGTGAAGGCGTTACCGCAGAGCAGAGCTGGACGCGTTGTTCCTTGACGTGGTTGCCACTACGAGCGCCGTTCCCCGGTGTGGATCGCGGTACCGGTGACTGGGCTGATAGCCCACCTCTAGAGGTGTAACCCCTGCCAGATCCGTCATGCAAAAAGGAATCCAAAAGATAAACCAGGGAGTAACTCAGTGGGAATTTCTTTGCAGTTTCCTTGTACGTTGAGTTTCGTTGTTTGCTTCAGACAACCCTTCCACAAAAGGCATGGGAGTAGTCACTTAAGGCAGGCAGGCTGCCCAGAAACCCCAGGGGTGGTGGAACTGATCACGAGGCTGTGTGTGCAGAGACCAGAGAGTCCCGGCAGCCCCCCGCAGACCGGGAGCCCGTCAGCAGGGTCTCTCGTTCCCTCCGGCTGCCGCGCTGGGCTGGTGTGCCTGCTGGGTCACTTGGCTGCCAGTCTCCTCCCTTCCCAAGGTCACTTTTTCAGGTATTCGGTGATGAAGGACAACTCAGTTGCTTACTACAAGGGAGACAGAGAAGCCTTGGTTTTGAGAGATGCACTGCTGTAGAAAACGTGTTTTGTAATATATTTGCACATGTATGGTTGTACATGGATTCTGGATGTTCTTTATATACACATATAGATGTCACGAGCGGTGAATATTTAGGTACATAAATGGGAACATGCTGTACATTTTCCTGCTTTATAAACTGTCCATCGCCAACCTTTCCATAGATCAAACATCCAAAGAAATAATTAATTCTTAACTGACTTTCTTTGCCAAGTGATCCGCTTCAAAGTAGTGAGCTTCCTTGTTGCTGAGATGTGTAATATTCTAAATAAAAGCATCCAGCAAAGCAAACAAATACTTGAATTAACCAAGTGAGAAATTACTGCAAAGAAATGTCCTGAAAGAGATTTAGGGGGGAAAAAAAAAAAAAGATGAAGGGAAAAATATGGACAACATAAAATATTCATATTGTCAGCAAACAAGGAGAAAATGTTCCTTTTATAGAGCTAGACAGCAGCGATACAGAAAATAGACATGCTCCATGCAAATTTATTAAGTGCAACTTTCTCTCTCTCTCTCTCTCAGATAAAAAACCTCTTCATGAAATAAAATCCCAAAGTAAGTTATTTTTTTTTCTCTTGTAAATATGATTTTTCTCATCTTCTCTGCCATTCTGGTTTATTTGTTTAGGAGCTAAATAAAACTGAAGGTTATCTGAAAGGCTTTCCTGCCTGCTGAAAGCATCGTCTTAGCCACTTTGTGATCCTAGGTTTCAGGCTAAAAATAGAAAAGTGACCGCTCTTTAGCAATTTGGGCCTGACTGGGAGCCCTTCAGAGGGACGCTTACCTCGGAATCGATCTCTTGAGGACTTGCAGAGAGAAAAAAAAGAAGTTAATGTAGGGGTTTGGCTTTCTTGGTTCAAATCCGGTTCCACTGCTGGCTCTGCCTGCTCGTGTTCACTTGTCAGCTGGCCAGAGGTGTTTCCGTGCTTCACCCTGGGAAGAGTGGGCGGGTGTCGTTTATATGCTGCTCTGGGGACTTCGCTCCCCCACTCCCTATTCCTTAGTCACCCGCTGATTTCATGGAATTTTAGTTTAGACAAAAGTCCCAACTTCATCAAAAGCAGGTTTTCCACGAGGCCCATCTGTGTTAAAGTGAAAACATTGCTTTTTTCTTTCCTAAACCGTACACACGGTTTTGAGGATTTTTGCTTAATTTTCAACAAAGTCTTTGAATTTTGACAAATAGCTTTATAAACACATTTTTGGCTTAATTTTTTTAAAGGACTTAAAACCAGGCTCCACCTGTACCGAGAAGTCACACACGGGATTGTTTACGTCGGCGTTGAAGGGAGATGCTTCTGTTGCGCAACACACAGTGCATGGGCTTTCGGTCTGCGTGTTCCTCCGGGATGTAGGGGCATAGGGTGTGGAGGCGATTTGAAATTTGATGGAACTTGGGCCCCAGGTCATGTGGAAAACATGCGGAAAGCCTAACCTGAACTGTGCTTCCTCTGCGCTCGCGTGCTGCACGCTGCAGTGTCAGCAGGGGCGTAACCAAGCTGCAGCAACAACGCGATGCCGTGGAAGTAGTGAGTGGAGAGGAGCAGTTACTCCAAGGTGGCTGCAGCTCCCGCTGAGGGAGGGGCGTTTGGCTCTTCAGAAGTCGTTTGGCCACGAGAGCCACCCAGCTCCACCCATGAAATGGTTCCGAATGCGCAGGGAGAATGTCTCTCCATTCCCAGTTAGTATTCCTAACAATCCACAGGATCTCATTTAGGTAGCTCAACAGCGTGCCGTGGTTGCCGTGGCCGCTGAAGCCTTTTTAATTTTGTCTTGTCTTTGTCTCAGCGGCTCCGTCTCTGGAGCGGGTGCGCACCGTTGCTGTGTCATCACGCAGCCCGGGCCGTTGATGTGGATTCGTTTGTTTGCCTGCGCAGTTCCCATTTAATTACAGATTCTCGGAAGAACATCACTCACGTTCCTTTATTTCCCGACTTAGTAAAGAAGTGACTTTATTGGGATTGATTTCAGCGTGTACAATACCTGGGAGAGCTAACGGGTCTCTGAGCTGTGGGGTTACAAACGCACAACCCAGCCTGTTGCTGTGCGAAACGGGCGCCTCGTTCCAGGCTGCGTGAATCAGCGCTGATGCAAAATCAAAGTTAATTATGAAGGTAGTTGAGAAACAACCTGTTCTACTAAACCGCCTCGCGCATGATTCTCTGCCTCCTGATCCTCTTCTCGAAGCCCAGCTGCGTGAAGAGACGGCCCACAGGTTGCTACGGTGCTCCAGCAGCGGGTGATGGAAAACTGGGGGAGGCCGGGAAGCTGGAAAAACCTTTCCAGTCTCCTAGCAAACTCTAGTGGCGGGGGGAAACATCGCCCTGCGTAGCTCCCGGAAAGCACTCACGGTAAATGAGATAATTTAATCAATTACATTTCCTAATGTACTAAACCAAATGTTTCATTTTCTGCTCCTGCACATCTTAAATTATCTTCAGGTGCGTTGTGAAACTTAATCATAGTTAATAGAAACTTCATTACCATCAAATGTGCTTTCAACAAATGTTGTGTAACAGAGGCAGGAGGGGGAGTGAGGCGCAGGCTGCAGTCACCACCACCACGAAGCCCGTAACTGAAATGCAGCACAACCGCGGTGCCTTACCCCCACCCGGCCTCCGCTGGGCTCCAGCCTGCAGTTCGTTAAACAGTAATTGGTTGACTATAAATGTTTTCTTTTTCAGTTTGTTTCTTTTTCACTGGTTCCCTTCTGGGAAAAAAATAAGAGCAGAAAATTACCCCGTTCCCCAGATTTGCCATGCTTTTCTTTTTTCTTTAATTTCTAGTCTCCCATAAAAGGAATTAACCGTAAGAAAAAGTAGAAAGTGTAAGAGATAAAAATCAGTTTAAAAATACAATATTTGTTTCTAAAGAAATACTAGCGTCCTAAATAAAAATGGAAGTC